AAAAAAGAGTAATCTGATACAATTTGATGAACTTGACCTACACCTATGGATGCAATAGCTCAAAAGAGGGAACAGAGCTTTACAGCGAGGATCATTTCCACCCCCTCCATACACAGGGTAGACAGGGATGGGCAACTTGGACATTGGCTACCCAAAATGGGGGGGGGGGCACAAAGGCAAAAAGTGACTGGCTTACAAGCTTTCAAGAGGGAGCCTAGATCCAGAGGACACAGAGGAAGATAGAATCTCCACTCTGTCTGGGTAGGGCTGATGAAAAGAGATGGGGATAGGTCTCTTGTGGTACAATAGTAAATAATTGTTATCAGAACTGATTGTGAGGGTTGGAAATGTAAAGGTAGATGTTTTGTAGCAAAAGGAGGGGAGTGATTGACTTTGCAGTCCAGGAGCGGAGGTCTCTGGGACCATCATGGGAGAAGACCGGAGTGCGGGACCCTACCCAGAGAAACAGTGACGCCAGAGATGGAGACAGAGATGATGTGGAGAGATGGAGCGGCTAGGGACTCTAGACCCAGAGAGGGAGAGGTGTTGTGTGCTGAGGATCAGGAGGCAGGCTTGCAGGGTATACCCTTTGGTTGGTTGATGAGGCATGGAGGGGATTGTAACCATGGCAATGAAATTATACATGATAGGATGAATGTAAAGCTAATGTTTTCCCATGTGAACTATCACATAGTTCACAATAAAACATTAAAAACTTTTTTATTACTTTAATTTTTAAGTGGGCATTGGACTGAAAAGCAAACAGAATTGCTAGCAGCCACAAGAAGTAGAGAAAACATTGTATGTCTTCCATTAAGGAAAAGAGTTTACTTTTACCCCAGGAAGATCAGTCAGAAGCAGCCTTGAAAGATGGAAGTGGAATTGGGACTAGATTAGAAGGAACTCGATTAGAGAAAGCTAAGGGTTGGAAGTGGGAATGTGCAGGGAGGCATAGCTGGAAATTGCAGGGAGGCTGACTGCTGAGAGTGGGGAACCAGGCTAGGTCTGGAGTATGTTGTAGTTGTTAGGTGCCGTCAAGTCGGAACCGACTCCAACAGAACCAAATACTACCCAGTCCTGGGCCAACCTCACAGTTGTTGCTATACCTGAACCCATTGCTGTTTCTCTTCATTTTGAGTTGTGCCCCATCAGCAGATGAAGGTCCCAAGGGCTTTACTCCATTCGCATTATCACGGCCAATTCTCCTTTGAGGAGGTAGCTCTTCCCCAGTCATATTTTGAGTGCCTTCCAATCAGAAGGCCTCATCTTCCGGCACTATATCTAACAATTTTCTGGTGCTCTTCATCATGTTTCATTCAGTATTCAATCTTCTGGTGCTGACTGTGTTCCACTGCTATTCATAAAGTTTTCAATGACTAAGTATTTGGAAGCAGTCCATCTTCCTAGTCTGTCTTCCTCTGGAAGCTCAGCTGAAACCTGTCCACCATGGGTGACCATGCTGGGATTTAAAATACCCGTGGCAAAGCTTCCAGAATCACAGCAACTCACAAGACAGATAAGTGGTGGTCTGGAGTATGAGGCGCCTTGAAATCCAGGCAAAAGGAATCTGGACTTTATCTCCTGGAAGACACAGGTTTCTGTGGCAAAATAGTACTCTCCACATCCAATCCGTTTCCAAAGATAAAATCTCTCCCTCTCCATGTTCTCTCTGTGCTTTCATCGAGCTGACCTAGCTTCCAAGGGGAAAGTCTTCCAACATCAGCCTGATCACATGACACCTTCTCTCAAAAACCTTTCACTGGCTTCCCCCACCAGATGCTGCAGCAATATGACACCCTGATGTCACTCAAAGCAGTCAATTAACTTAAGGAGGATCCCTGGGACATAAAGCTTGAGGCGGTGGGCAGTGACCTTGCCCCTGGTGTATGACCCTTTGCTGGGTGGGAGGGTTGAAGTTAATAGGGATCATCCCTTATCCCCTCCCCCACACGGAGATCATTCTCTCTGGGTCTGGCTTTGTCCTAACTCTCTAAGAGAGGATTGAATTTCTCCATGTCTGAAAGTACTGGGTCTGTGTGGGAGGGACCAGGGCCATGAAACCAAAGACATTAGCCAGTCACAGGGATTTCTGAGTGAGTTGTCAGAGAGAATGGGGAAGAGTCAGGCTGAGGGGAAGAAGTCTAGAACAATCCAGCACTTACCCTCTTCCCAGCCTCCCTGTGAACAATAAGTCCCAGTTTGTAAATTTGTCATTCATTCATGTTCATTCATTCACTCAAGGAAAAAGAAGACAAAAACTAATGGAAATGAGTTAAACTAAAGAAAAGCATTCAAGTTGAGGAATGAGGAGTTTTCCCTGAGAGATAGGATGTCGGGGAGATAGATGCAAGAAATATCACGGAGAGAGGGATGGGAGGCATACCAACATCTGAGAGGTAAGCAGACCAGAGGACATTAACCTCTGTGTCATGGAACCAGGGGAAAGCAGGTTGCCCAAAAGGAAAGTGCAATGGTGGCAAATTCTAGAAAGAGGCCAAGACCTGAAGAGAAGCCACAGATGGTGGTAAGTAGGACCTTGGTGACCGTGGTACAAGCAAGTCAGGGGAGCCATGGGGGCAGAAGACAGATGTACAGGGCTCGAGGAATTGAGATGTAGCTCACAGAAATTCAGTTGAGAAGGAAAGGAGAAAACATGGGGTAGTAGCGAGAGAAGAAAGGAGAGTTGAGACACGATTTATTCTAGGACAGAAATTAGCTTAAGGGAAAGTAGCCAGGAAGACGGAAGACCTGCAGGCTTGAGATGGAGAAAGTAGTTATCACTGAAAGGGGTCAGAGAGGGGCCCTTGTCCTCATACTGGGTGGTTTTCTGGAGAAGCTTTGAGGTTGTGTGAGGAGTACAGATCAGCTTGGTAGGTATGTGGGCAGGAGCTGAGAGAAACTCCCTGGTTGTAAGGAAATTTGAGAAGGGAGGAGAAGGGCTGGCTCTGCTTTTGAGGGGGACTAGCTAGGACCTCAGTGAGGGAGGATGGTGCTGGGAGCTCTGGGAGGCTAAAGAAAAGGAGTTGGTGGTGGACTCACCAGGGGGAGGAGAGCGATCCCTCCAGATCACTCACAAGACACCTACACAATCCCGAGGTTGCGTCCCACCATACCCAGCCTGAGAGAGGGGGGTTAAAAGTGTGTAGGGTTGGGCCTACAAAGGGGTGAGACCCTCCATCCCTGCATCCCTAGCAGTTCAGAGACCAGGAGAGAAGGGCTTCCTCACTGAGGCCTCATCTGTCCCCACAAGGTGTTCACCCCGACAATGAATGCAGTGGGGAATCACTCATATACTACTGCCATCAGTTTATTTCTGTGTGAGTAAAGGCGGACAGGACTTTAGGGCCTCAGTAAGACAAGTCCCTCCCAAACCAGCCCCAGCCCTTAGGAAATGTCCAGCAACTTTTACCCTAGCCCCTCACCCAGCCTCAACTTCACTTCCAGCCGGAGAGGTCCTGTGTGTTGGTGCTGGATGGGGAACTCAGGCTTGGTCAGGGGAAGGTCCATCAGAATGGGTACAACCTTGATCCCGGTGAGCATGTGACTTGTTAGACACTGGCATGTGACTAGCCATCGGTTCACGCCTGAACCCTTGCAGGGATAGGCTGAGCCGCTCTGTTACAACATCTGGCCCCATTTCATCATATGGCTTTGAGTGGTGCATCTCACACAAAGTAAATCCACTCTGACTTATGGAGAGCCCACCTATTGTGGAGTAGAAGTGTTATCCAGTGGGTTTTTGGTGGCTGTGATCTTATGGAAGTAGATTGATCACTACACTTTTTACTGCTGGGCGTGTGTGTGTTGGGGGGGGGCGGGGGTTTGAACTGCCAATCTTTCTGCTACCTGCTGAGTGCAAACCATTAGCACCAGCTGGGGACTTCTGTTTGAATAGCCCCTGCTGCTCTTCTAATCTGAAGATGAAACCTACCTCCTTACAACTTCCCTTTTTGGTCCCAAGTGCACCTGGAGAACCACAGCATGCAGGTGATGCTGCTGTCCTGCAATGGGCTGCAGAGATGTGACCTCAGCAAAGCCTGTGCTCCTCTTACCTGTCACACCTTGGCCACATGACCATGGTATCTGGTGTGTTGGTTCTTACTGTTATGTTACAAGTCATCAAAACTGGCTAGTGAGGATGTTGGGGTGGGAACAGTTCTAACATCTCCTGGTGTGCAGCCCAGGGTCTGGAGCTGGGATGCCTCCCACTGCTGGGCCATCAGTGGAACTGGGAAGGGGGCATGGAGAGGCCCTTTTGTAGGCCCAAAGCTTCCAGTAGGTAAAGTCTATGCCCACTTCTCCTCTTCCTTGCCCCCTCCCTTAACAACCTGAGAGGGAGCAGGTGGAAAGGCTCCCCTGGCAGTCAGTTGCTACCTGAGTCTGCACCCTCCTTCCTTTGCACACCTGCTCAGGTGAGTACTCACATGTGGCCTCCAGGCCGGTCCTCCCTGGTGAGTACTCCCTCCTTCTCCATCAGCATCTGCCGGAAAGTCCCAACCTTCTGCCGGATCTCCTCCTCCAAGTACCTGTGGTGTTAGAGGGGGGGTTAGGGTTGCTGCCTTGGCTTGGATCCTCTCCCTGGCCGCCCCTGACCCAGTCTGTCCCCTAACTCTGGGTCACAGTGCAATCCACAATGCAGGAACTTGTCCGAGGTCACACAGCCAAGTGAGGCTCTTAGCACTAAGCTTTGCTGTTGTTAAGTTCTGTCGAGTTGATTCCGACTCAGAGCGGCCCAGTATAGAGTTTCCGAGGAGTAGCTGGTGGGTTTGAACCGCTGACCTTGTGGTTCGCAGTCCAGTGATTATACTCTAGTGCTATTTCAGGAGTCCAAGGAAGCTCTAGGGCTGCCCATTTAGTATGAAACCAAACCAACCGACCAACTAGACAAACATACATGGAGAGAAATTCCCAGAGATGGGGGAATTACTACCCATCGCTCCCCTCCCCCACTCCTGTCTGACATGGAGGCTGGTCACTCTGTGACGTGTTTGAGGAAGTGAGGGGTGAGGAGCCTGGCCTTTTCTGTTTCCCTGGCCTCATTGACATTGGATGCTCACAACAGCCTTGGGAGGTCTTAGGGGTTGAGTTGGTCCCCCCAAAAGTTATGTTGAAGTTCTGACCCCTGTACCTGTAAATATGACCTTACTTGGGAATAGGAGTTTTCTTTTGCTATGTTAATGAGGAGTAAGGTGGGTTGTAAACCTAACTCACTATTGTTCTTGTTATTAAGTGCCATCAAGCTGGTTCTGACTCATAGCGACCCTGTATAGGGTTTTCAAGGAGCTAATGGTAGATTTGAACCACCAACTTTGTGGCTCAAACCAAGTTGGCAGTCAGTGCTTATCCTACAGCGCCACCCCAGGACTCTCTTCTAAGTGGTGGTTTATAAACAGAGCAGAATAGACCTAAACACACACAGATAGACAGGAACCAGGGGAAGACACACTATAAAGACTCAAGAACACCAAGACATGCTGGGCTCCAGCAGATAAAAGACAAAGAAAGGTCCTCCCCTAGACCTACTGCCTTGAATTTGAACTTGTAGCCTCCTGACCGAAGTGAATGGTAATGACTGAAGACCAGATGAGTTGTAAGGTGACATCAAGGACATGGAAGAAATGAGGTAGTAAAAGAGCTGAGCAGAAGATTTCAAAGTGTGGCTTGAGGAGACAGAGTAAAGAACTATAACAAAATATGCAAAGACGTGAAATTAAGAAACCAAAAGGGGAGAACACACTATACATTTCTCAAGCGGAAAGAAGTGAAGAGAAAAAGTCAAGCCTTGAGTGGCAATATTACAAGGTTCAATGAGGAAAATATTGAACAATGCAGAGAGCATTAAAAGAAGATGGAAGGAATACACAGTCACTGCACCAAAAAAATGCATCCAAAAAATGGTTGCTGTTCAGTCAAATTAAGAACCAATGGTATTGAAGGAAGAGGTGCTTGGAAAGCTAGGAAAAAACGAGAGGCTCCAGGAATTGATGGAATACCAACTGAGATGTTTCAACAAATGGAAGCTCTTGCTTGTGCTTAAACAAGAAATCTGGAAGATAATCTGGCCAACCGACTGGAAGAGATCCACATTTGTGTCCATTCTAACGATAGGTGACCTAACAGAATGTGGAGATCATTGAACAACATCATTAATATCACATGTAAATAAGATTTGGCTGGAAGCAATTTTAAAAATTGTTGTAGAAGTACATCGACAGGGAACGGTCAGAAAATCAAGCCAGATTCAGACGAAGATGTGGAACAAGGAATATCACCGTCGACATTAGATGAATCTTGGCTGAAAGCATAGAATACCAGAGAGATGTTTACCTGTATTTTATTGACTGTGGGAGATATTTGACTATGTGGAACATAACAAATTATGGATAACATTACAAAGAATGGGAATTTAGTTTTAGCAATTAGTTTTGCTCATTTAGAAACTATACATAGACCAAGAGGCAGCTGTGTGGTTTTAACAATCTGTAACATGAAGATTGAAGAGCAAAGATGTCAGCTTGAGGACTAAGGTGCACCTGACCCAAGCCGTGGTATTTTCAATAACTTCATATGAATGTGAAAGCTGGACAGTGAATAAGGACGATCGTAGAAGAATTGATGCATTTGAGTTATGGTGTTAGAGGAGAATACTACAAGTGCCATGGGCTGCCAAAAGAACCAATAGATCTGTTTTGGAAGAAGTGCAGCCAGAGTGCTCCTTAGACGCCAAGATGGCCAAACTTCGTCTCTCATACTTCAGACATATTGTCAGGAGGGAACAGTCGCTGGAGAAGGATATCATGCTTGGTAAGATGGAGGATCGGAGAAAAAGAGGAAGACCCCCAACGAGATGGATTGGTCAGGTGGCAGTATTGATGGACTCAAGTGTGGCAGCAGTAGTGAGGTTGGCCCAGGATTGGACATTGTTTCGTTCTGCTGTGCATGGGGTCGCTATGAGTCGGTTCCGACTCGATGGCACCTGACAACAACAACAACAACAATGTGAAGATGATACAACCTTGCTTGCTAAAAGAGAAAAGGTCTTGAAGCAACTACGGATGAAGATCAAAGACTACAGCCTTCTACACTTCAACATAAAGAAAACAAAAATTCCTCATGACGGGGTCAATAAGCCACACTATAATAAAGAGAGAAAAGATTGAAACTGTCAAAGATTTCATTTACTTGGATCCATAACTAATGCCCATGGAAGCAGCAGTCAAGAAATCAAACAATGTAAGGCACTGGGTGACTCTTTGCAAAAGAACTCTTTAAAGTGTTAAAAAGCAAAGATGTCATTTTGAAGGCTAGGATGTGCCTGACCCAAGCCATGATCTCTTTTTAAAAAATATTTTAATGTTTTATTGTGAATTATGTGATAGTTTACATGGGAGAACATTAGCTTTACATTCATCCTATCATATATCGTTTCATTGCCATGGTTACAATCCCCTCCATCCAAGCCATGATCATTTTAATCACCTCATATTGTATGTGAAAGCGGGAGAATGGAAAAGACAGACTGAAGAAGAGTTGAAGGCACTTCATTTATTGTGTTGGTGAAGAATACTGAATATACCACGGATTGCCAGAAGAACAAACAAATCTTTCTTGAAGAGGTACAGCCAGAATGCTCTTTAGAAGCAAGGTTGGTGACTTTGTATTGCATATTTTAGACACGTTATCAGGAGGGACCAGTCCCTGAAAAGGGACATCATGCTTATTAAAGGGGACCACAGTGGCTCCATAACATAAGCACTGGACTGAGAACTACAAGGTTGGTGGTTCAAGTTCACCAGCTTCTCCGCAGAAGGGTTTCTTCTCCCACAAAAGATTTAAAGCCTCAGAAACCCTTTACAGAGTCACTATGAGTCGAAGCTGACTCCCCAGAACTTAAAAACAACTAAGTAGAGGGTCAGAGAAAAAGAGAAAGACCCTCAATGAGATGGATTGACATAGTAGCTGAAACAATGCTTGTGAGGTTGGGTTCATTCTGTTGTACATAGGGTTGCTATGAGTTGGAACCAACTCAACAGCACCTAACAACAACAACCTTGTGAACTAGGGAAAGTAGATCTTTCTTCTTAAAGCCACCCATCTCTAGACTTTTGCCTGGCAGCCCCAGGAGACTAGGGCAGAAAGTAATCAAAGCACCCCCACCTTTGCAAGGTCAGGGTGCTGAGTGGCTTGCCTGAGGTCCCAGTGGTTGATTCACTGCTTATCTCTGCAGTTGGTTTAGGGAAGGTGAGTGAAGGCTGAGCTCCTGACCGCCTACCCCCCTGGCTTGCATCCCTGTTTCTACCCACCAGGTAAGACCTTGTCTTCTTTCACTGACCCTCTGGGACAGCTCCTTGCCCTGGTCTCCAACTCTCTCTCTAGTCTGACCTCAAAGAATTTTGCTCAGCCCCTTGCCCTGTGTCTGACACAGACCAAGAGTCCAGTGATGGCTGCTAAACGACTCCCTAGACCTCTCCCCTCTCCCCTTCCTGGCCCATTGTGCTGGACAGAAGATATCATCAAGGCAAAATAGGGGCAGGGACTTGTCTCTGTTATCTGCTCACCATCATTGCCTGTCCCCACCACGGGCTCAGCCTGCCCCACTCCACCTGTACGTGAAAATGGCATGTTGTTCCCTCTTAGGGAGCCTGTCATTTCCCTTCCTCCCTTCTCTCTCCCTTCCTTCAACAAGCATTTCAGACTGACCCATCCTTGTTGGAGGTCAATCTGACAATTTCTTTCACAAGCCTTAAGAACCTGAATAACTCTTTTGACTAATAAATTAACTTCTAGGTTTACCCTATGAAAATAATCAGAGCTGAACACAAAAGCTTAACTCATTGGATGTTTATAGTAGGTCTGATACCCGCAGCCAGGTTAGGTGCCAGCATTTATGTTTCCAGAGCAACCAGTACATTTCAGATCCTGACAGGTAGTTCATGCTCTAGTAATTATGCATTGACTTGTCTGTATCCTGTGCTGGCCTGGGCAATCCCTGAGGGAACCAGTCTTGCCTACTGCTGCACCTGGTACTGTGCCTGCCATACTGGGAGTGACTGATGATGGAGAAGGCCAGAAGAGTTTGAAGATTGGACTTTCATTTTGGAAAGATGGCTCTTGCGGCTGGTGACTAGAAGAGAGGGACTGGAGGCAGAGAGGTCTGCATTAAGGTTACGGCAAAGGTTCTGGTAGGAGAGGGTACAGTCAGAACCAGAAAGTAGCTCTGGAGATGGGACAGGGGGGTGAGAAAATGACTAGAAAGTGTCTTGGAGGGAGAATGGCTGAGACCTATTGAATATATTTGGAAGGGGGGTTGGAGGAGGAGCACCCTCCTACTTCTTAACTAGGTGCCCCATAGCTACACCTTTGTAGCCCACCATGGGGAAGGCTGGGCTCTCTTCCCATCTCCTCTACCCTACCGTCACACTGTTGAGCCCTCTAACCAAGGGTCCTGGGTCACCTGTACCTGCCTGAATCTCTGTCTAGACCTACAGGTTCTTTGGTCTGCTCATTGGGTGTGCAGAGGATTCTG